CATATATTATAACTAAACGATGACACTCTTCCTCATAGTTCTATATGTTTGCTATTTTCACATATACAATATACCTTGCCCAAAGTTTTTACATGGAATGCTACATGATAGAAACCAAAATATAGGATACAACACGGACAAGAATAATACAAGGGATAAAAAATGAGCAAGAGTAAGACAGGGGATGCAACGTGATTCAACAAACATGCGTCGCGTCTCACCCTGTTGCGTGTCGTCATCGTGTTGCAGCGAGAGGCTCTGCGACATTGCATCCAGGAGCGAGCGCAGTTGCAGGAAGTCTGCGGGAATTTTATTAATTACTAATTAATCTAATTGGGTTGTTATTACTACTACTTTTTATTCATTATGTTTCTTTATCTTTGGCATTTGCATTAATATTCTTTTTGTTTGTATTTCTATATAAACTTATTTTTGGTTTATATTTGATTTTTTTTTCACTTTTTGTCGACAAGTTTAGCATTAATATTATTACTGCAATTACTGACAATTTAGCTAAAACCTTGGCTGAGAGAGAGAAGAGAGAGAGAGAGAGAGAGAGAGAGAGAGAGAAGAGAGAGGAGAGAGAGAGAGAGAGAGAGAGAGAGAGAGAGAGAGAGAGAGAGAGAGAGAGAGAAGAGAGAGAGAGAGAGAGAGAGAGAGAGAAAGGGAGAGAGAGAGAGAGAGAGGAAGAGAGAGAGAGAGAGAGAGAGAGAGAGAAGAGGTGAAGAGAGAGAGAAAGAGAGAGAAAGGGGGAGGTGAGAGAGAGAGAGATATAGGGGGGGTAGAGAGGAGAGAGAGAGAGAAGGGAGACAGACAGACAGAGAGAGAGAGATAAAGATAGAGAGGGGGGGGAGATAGAGAGAGAGAAAGAGAGAGAGACAGAGAGAGAGAGAGAGATAGAGAGAGGGGGGATAGGGAGGAAGAGAGAGAGAAAGAGAGAAGAGAGAGAGAGAGAAAGAGAGAGATAGAGAGAAAGATAGAGAGGAAGAGAGAGAGGGGGGGGCAGACAGTAGAAAAGACAACGGAGGCGGTGGCGGTCACCTTCCCTGAGGGCGTCCAGCTTGGCACTCGTGGCACTCGACGCTCGGTTCAGCTGCTCCTGCGCCGTGCCATTCGCTGCCGAGGGGTAAGGGAGATGTTTGCGAGAGAGAACATTTGAAACAATTACTTAAAAGTCTAAATAGAAGATAAATATTGATACAACACAATGTACATTGTTTGCAGATTATTGAATCGAAGACGAATATTGACATGACACAAAGTAAACGGTGATTGTTGAGGACACTGATCGAACTTTCACCTTGGCGTCTCGGGCTCGAGAATTTCAAACGAAAACAACAATACATTTTTTTTTTTCTCCGCATCGACGTGGATTTCTATCGGTTTTTCCTTATAGACCTGTGTGTTTCTCTAGTTTTCTCTTCATAAACATGTGTAACTCTATCGGTTCCTCCTCACAGACAAGTATTTCTTTCGGTTCCTCCTCATAGACATGTGTGCTTTTATCTATTCGTATACATCAATTGCAGATCACACAGAGAGCAAAATGCTTTAGTAATTGTTTTATGAGTCTTATATTTAAGTATGACATACTTTTAGTTGCAATAACAATGACGTTATCTTAGAGAAGAAAGGAAAACATGATGCGCACAAGGGAAGCAAGTTACTGAGATCCTTGAGTGAACGGTTTTCTAGTGCTTCAGATCGTTTTTTTTTTTTTTCGTTTCTCTATTTATTTTAAGAATGGATTTCTGTGGCTTTATCTGCTTAGTCACTTTTAAGCACGATTGATAGAAATATTTATTCACTGTACGTGTTCTAACATCCTATTATTACAATACGCAAAGTACATTTTGAACACGGGAGTCTTGTCTACGTATCGTCCAGAATGGAAATTATATTCATAAAGAGTTTAATCATTTCACTTGGTAATAAGCAATATGGTTTATGACAATATTCACTTAGGGTAATGAAGATTCTGTTTTATTATGATCAATGATTTTCACTTAATGATTATTAATATTGTTCATTTATCGATTATTTTAATTTCATAATAACTTCATTTATAGACTATTTTAATTTCATAATAACTTCATTTATGGATTATTTTAATTTCTTAATTCACTTTTATGGATTATTTTATTTTATAATAATTTACATTTCGCAATGAATAAATATAAATTTTTCAGTGATTTTTATGGAAATGGTGATTATTTCACTGAATGCTAATTGCAATCAGTGATAACTACAGAACCCGTGGTCTTACTTTATGAAAATAATCAGTGAGTTTTACATAATGGTAATTTCAACTTAATGAGGATTAATGATTCTAACGATAATTTTCACTTCATAATTACTAATGATTTTCACTTCATGATGACAACTTTTATCATGATAATTATTGATTTTTACTTTATAGTAATTAGTGATCTTGCTGCCGATTTCCCTTGGCGGCGGCGCGGTCCTTACCTCCGCCGAGAAGGTCGAGCACCTGAGCGAG